CGCCGGGCTTCATGACGATCACCCGAATTACCCCACGCGCAGCGTGATCGACGTCTTGGATTCGATCGACAGCGTGCCGTCGACCAACAGGTCGTCCTTGCCCACGACATGGGTGTTGCGGTCACGCCCGATCGTCTTGTGTCGTCGCGACCGATATTGGTCGTGCGATCCAGTCCGACCCGGCGTTGCTGGTTGTGGCCCGACATGGCGGCTTTCGTCGAAGCGAACGCGGCTGTTCATGTCGCGCTCGGCATGGATGAACAGCTCTTCCCGGGCCGCCCTTGTCCTCGAAACGGATTTCGTTGGAAGTCCGGTTGGTGCCGCTGTCGAGATCCTCGGTCTCGGGATATTGTCCCGAGGGCCCATAGGTCAGCGTGCGCCACACCGCGCGCGTCTTGTTCGCGGGCAGTTCATGAACCGGCATATGCTTTTGTTGAAGACGCGCCCGACGACCAGCGGGCGGTCGGGATCGCCGTCGAGAAAGTCGACCAGCACCTCATGCCCGACGCGCGGCAGGATGACGTTCCCCAGCCCGCCGGTCTGCGACACGCGTATCCAGCAGGTCGATCGCTCGCCCGGCGTGTCGGCGCGGTCCCAGTGGAAACGGACCTTCACCCGCCCATATTCGTCGGTATAGATCGTCTCGCCTGGTGGTCCGGTGACGATCGCTGACCCAATCCCCTGCACACGCGGACGTGGCGTGTCGGCGCGAGGGCGGAAGACGGTGTCGGCGGGGATCGCCTCGAATTTCATTATAGGCGTCCTCGTCCTCCTGCTGGCCGGAGCGGTAGCTTTGGGCTACGATCGAATGCTCGGCCGCGGTGATGAGGTAAGCGCCGTTCATCCGCGCCGCCGGATGATCCTCGACATTGACGCGGTAGCCGGTGGTCAGGCCGTTGCCTGTGACGTGCCGGTAAAGGTCCGCCGCGCGGCCCGCTGTGCGTCGAGCAGCGTTTCCGGCCCCGGTCGCGCCCGTCTGTTCTGGTCGCCGCGCCCGGTCTTCTCGCGCGTGTAGCGGCCGGGATAGACGAAGATCTCACGATCGTCGCGCGGATGGGCGCCTTCGCCGCTCGCCTCGGCCGACAGCGGCTGGTCGGGCGATTGAAGTCGAAATCGCGCACCGTCACTTTGGCCTCGGCGGTGGAGGCGACGCGTTCGATCCAGCTTTGCAGGTAGTCGCCCTGCGCGCCGAACCGCGATTTGGGTCGGTGGTGAAGACCGACACGCTGTTGGCATTGTATTTCAACCGCGCGGGCTTGCCCGGTTGATGCGAAGCGGGACCTCGCACAGGATCATGACGTGACGATCGGCGTCGTGGCGGAAGAAATAACAGATTCCCTCCTCCTCCATCAGGCGCGAGGCGAAGGCGAAATCGCTCTCCCGATACTGCACCGTATAGCCGCGCGTGACGCGGGGCTGCACCAGCCGCGTATAGTCGACATCCTGCACCCCGGCATTTTCGAACACCTGCTTGACGATCTGGACGACGGTCTTGTCCTGATAGATCGCCATCTGCCGGTTCTGGTCGAGGTAGAAGGTCAGGGGCGGATCGACAGGCGGTAATGATGCCCCGACTGGGTCTCCTTCACATATTCGCCCGCCGTGACCAGCCCGTGGAAGCGGCGCAGGAGTTCGCCATCCTCCAGCACCGCCAGCGATGCGGGTTTGCCGAGATGCGGCTGAAGGTCGATTTCCAAAAGGCGAAATGATATCGGCCAGCACCTCGAACGGCGCGCTCCAGCCTTTCCGAACCTTTGATCCGTTCCAAGACGACCTGTTCGTCGCCCACGTCGATCGCCATCTGCGTCAGGCGTTGCGTCGTGTCTGTCACCAACCACTCCCGCCGATCGCGCCGAACCGCGCGCAGGCGCGATCCTATCGGCTTCGTTCCGGGGTACAATGGCCGGCGCGCCCGTCAGTTGCAAGACGCGCGGAAGATCGGGACCATGCGGACAAGATATTTCGTGACGGTCATGAAACAAATATACCTCTTGATGCGTATAGGGCAAGTCTAACCGATGTTAGGTGTCGGTCGAATGGTCTTAGGGCGGAAGTGCTGCCATATGGGTTGCTTCGCATCGGCGCACGGCCTAATGTGAATCAGCACCGAGTGCATGCACGGGAGTAAGCCATGTCGTTGCGGATGCTCACAGTTTGTTTGGCGACCACGCTGGTCGCCCCTCGGCCCATGCGCAGGAGGCGGCGTCCTCCAAGACGCGGCCAAGCGTCGAAAGCTATCTCTGCGCCTTTGCGGGCAAGTGCGATGGCGTGCAGGGGCGCAACCTGTGGTGACGCGCGATGCGCCGGAGACCAGGGTTTCCGGCTGGCTGAAGCCGAGCGCTTGGGCGAGGCGAGCGGCGTGGCCGCCACCGTCACCTCGCAGCCGCGCAGTGTCGATCGTGCGACGCGTCGCTCGTCGCTGCGCCGTGCCCATTATACCGCGCCATCCGCGCCGGCCGTCAATTATGGTGCGGTACAGCGTCCGCGCGCCGATCTGATGATCGGGTTCGAGCTCAATTCCGCACGCTTGTCGGCGGAGGGAACGCGCGCGGCGCAGGTTTTCGCCCGCTCGCTGCTGATGCCCGGAGCTGAAGGACAAGCGCTTCCTGATCGAGGGGCATACCGACCTGCGCGGCGGCGCCGGATCAATGGGCCCTTGTCGACGGCACGTGCCAAGGCGGTTGCGGATTATCTGGTGACGCTGGGTGTCGATCGCAGCCGCCCGGAAACGCGGGGCTTCGGTTCGGCGATGCCGCTGCTCGGGCACAGCAAAGGCGGACCCGGTCAATCGTCGCGTCGAAGCCGAGCTGATTTCCTGAGGCGCGACTGGTGTCGGACATGCCCCCAGTATCGATATTGCCGATCTCCTGACGCCGATCGCGCCCGATGCGCCGGCGGGGCCGGACCTGTCCTATGACCCGGCGCGCCGGGCGATCGAACAGGCGTTCAGCGATCCGGCTGATGAGGTCGACTGGCCGCGTACCATCGTGATGATCGAGGCGCAGGCGCGGCAGACCTGCGACGTCTGGCTGGCCGTCTATCTGGCCCGGGCAGGCGCGCGGGCGGGCGATCTGGCCGTGGTGGAAACGGGCGTGCAACTGCTGGCCGGGCTGTTCGAACGGCTTTGGGACAGCGCGCATCCGACGATCGAGGAATATGGGATCGAGGGCGCAAGGGCGCTCGCGAATCTCTGGTTCGGATCGGCGAGTTCACGCGCCGCTCCGCCGCGTGCCGCTGATCGTGCATCCGCGGCTGGGCCAATATGACGGCGCGGATGTCGAACGCTTCAGCGAGGACGGCATGGCCGATGGCTATGGCCGTTCCGCTGCTGCCGCCGACACGCCGGTCGAGCGGATCGAGGCGATCGTCGACCGGTTCCGCTGGATCGAGGCGGCGTTGCAGCGGGCCGATGCGGTCCTGTCGGAAAAGGCGGAGGAGGTCGGGCAGACCGGCGCAATTTCCGCCCGACCTATGAAGCGATCGAGGGATCGTCCATGCGCTGACTCCCTTTGTCCGCCAGACGGGCGAAGCGGCGGCGGCTGACGACGCTATGCCGATTACCCTGTCCGACGGGCCGAGGCCCATGGGCTCGGGCGGTGTCGGGCGTATCCAATCGCGCGAGGATGTCGCCCGCGCCCTCGATGCGGTCATCGATTATTATGGTCGGGTCGAGCCATCAGTCCGATCCCGGTTGCATTGGGGCGGGTAAAGGGTTGGATCACCATGGATTTCATGGCGATCTGGCGGACATCGCGCCCGGCAGCGTCAGCGATGCGACGGCGGTGCTGCGCGCGCGCGGGCGGAGGCCGAAGCGTCGGCGGATCTAATGTGATCAAGAGGATGCGGTTCGTGATCACGGAGCCATTACGGCGCTGAAACATTATGCGGGTGAAGCCCGCAGAGGCTGGGAAACGGGACGGAGCACATGGCGATCAAAAGCGGTCGTTTGTGGTCTCGAAGGCATTTCTCACCTTCGGACGCTCGTTCATGTTGGCTGCGTGCGTTACAGCTTTGAACGACTTCACTTGGTTCGCGGATGCTGTCTGGACTAGGGTCAGGACTCGTCGCTCACAGCCAGAAGATGACCGTGGCAGCGAGGGCGACGGCAGAGAAAGAAGGCCGTGGGTAGCGATCGTAGCGGGTGGCGATGCGCCGCCAATCTTGAGGCCGCCGAACATGATCTCGATGCGGCTGCGGTGCCGGTAGCGGCGCTTGTCATACCTGATCGGCTCGTTGCGGGATCGCCGACCCGGGATGCATGGCTGGATGCCTTTGCGGAGAGCGTCCCTGAACCAGTCGGCGTCATAGCCGCGATTGCCAAGCAGCCACTGCGCCCCGGCATGTCGTCGAGCAACGCTGCCGCTCCGGTGTAGTCGCTGACACGGCCAGCGGTTATGAAGAAGCTCAAAGGCCGGCCGTTCGCGTCGGCGACGGCGTGGAGCTTGGTGTTCATGCCGCCTTTGGCGCGCGCCAGATCGGGCGGCCAAGATCCCTTTTAACCCCGCAGGCTCGGGCCGTGCGGTGCGCCTTCAGGTAAGTCGCGTCGATCATGACCGTATTCGGCTCGGCACCTTTCGCCGCCAGCCCCCTCCATCATTCGCGTGAACACACCGGCCTCGCCCCAACGCTTCCACCGATTGTACAGCGTCTTGTGCGGGCCGTACTCGCTGGGAGCATCTCGCCAGCGCAGCCCATTACGGTTGACGAACACGATGCCGCTCAGCACCCGCCAGTCATCCACTCGAGGCTTGCCGTGGCTCTTGGGAAAGAACGGCCGCAGCCGGGCCATCTGCTCGTGCGTCAGCCAAAACAGGTCGCTCATTCCGGTCTGCTTGCAGAGCCTGAATCAGATCGCGACTCTCCCATCAATGGGTCCTGCCCAAGGCGAAACACGCCACCGCCCCCAGCCCCGTCCAGACCCACTTTTTGGACACTGGCGAGCTGACGATCCCCCGGTTTCTCATCCGGGCGTGATGCGATTTTCCGACCTTGACGTTCGTTCATAAATTCAATAGACGCGAATATCTGTCGCTTCGCCGTGCGAATGCGTCGCCCTTGGGGACGCATCCGCTTCGCTCGCGGGTCGCCGTCGATCTCGATCTCGATCTGCTCCGCACAGCTTGCGGGAGGAGTTTAGCGTCCGGATCGCCTATCGCGACGCAAACGGGCGGCGGACCGAGTGCCAGATCCTGCGGCTCGGTATGTCCTACAGTCCACGCACGCTGATGCTGGTCGGCTGGTTTATTGCGCGAAGCGCATCGAACGTTCGAGATGTTCCGGATCGAGGCCATCGGAGGGGGCGAACACAGCTTCCGCCCGCGCCGTGTACAATTCCTCCGAGAATATGTTTGCTCTGCGAACCGCAGAATGGAAGAGGAAGGAGCAACAGGCAAATCACCGGAAAGAAAACACAAGGGGAGCACACTTGAGCCCCCCTTTTTCCATGCGAACCGTCAGACTGAGGTCAAAATTTGACCAATCGTCCTGCACCACGGCAAGCGCGGCTTTGCCGGCATTACGTGCGGTGCTGTAGTAGCGACCTTCCGGCCGGCACTGACAGCCCGTTTTTGAAGTTCATGTACGGCAGGCAAAGCCGGGCGACCATTGGCAACCTTAAAACGCCTTACCCGGCGGGAGTGTCCGGGAATTTCGTGTGCGGGCGGGCGGCTGAACATTACGCCGCCATGGCCCTGATGAAGCGTTCGCCGAAGATGACGGCGAACTGTGCTTGGCCATGGTCCACCACCACGTGGTGGCATCCTCCACTCTTTTTTCCGACCGGTTCAAGATCAGGTAGAGCAGCTTGGTGGCGGCCTCGTCGCTGGGGAAATGGCCGCGTGCACGGACGGCCTGGCGCAGTTTTCGAGTTCAGCGCCTCGATGGCGTTGGTGGTGTAGATGATCCGCCGAACCTCGTCGGGAAAGGCGAAGAACAGGATGACCTCGGCCCGCGCGCCGCCAGCTCTGGGCAATGGCGGGATAGCGGGTCCCCCAAGGACCCGCCTCGAACGCAGTCAGGGCCTGCTCGGCCGCCTCGGCACTGGGCGCGCGGTAGATCTCCTTCAACGCAGTCGCCGTGCCCTTGCGGTCCTTCCGGGACACAAAGTCCATGGAATTGCGCAGCAGATGGACGATGCATGTCTGAACCACGGCGTCGGGGAACACGGCCGTGATCGCTTCCGGAAAGCCCTTCAGGCCATCGACCACGGCGAGCAGGATGTCCTCGGTGCCGCGGTTCCTCAGCTCGTTCATGACCCTGAGCCAGAATTTGGCCCCTTCGTTTTCTGCTCCAGCCCACAGGCCCAGCACCTCCTTGGCGCCGTCGGCGCGGACGCCGAGCGCGATGTGGATCGCCTTGTTGCGCACCATGCCTTCGTCACGGATCTTCACCCGCAAGGCGTCGAAAATACGAGCGTAGACCGGGTCGAGCGGCCGCTGCTGCCAGATCGCCACCTCGTCGAGCACCGCGTCGGTCACGCTCGGATCAGGTCCGGCGATACGTCGATGCCGTACAGATCCGTGCAGGTGTCCTGTGATCTCGCGGGTACTCATGCCGCGCGTACATCGACACGATCTTCTCGTCGAAGCCCGGAAAGCGCCGCTGGTATTTGGCGATCAGCTGCGGGTCGAAACTGCTCTGCCGGTCACGTGGTACGTCGATCGCCAGCTTGCCGG